GCATAGCTGGCAATAACATAAAGGTATGATCAATATAAGTAATGCATGCTATCATCTCCAAATTATTGAATCTTTATAATATTATATTAATTTGCAGTCTATTGAACATTTGCACACAAACACTAAGTTGGAACATTTAGATTTATCTGAAAATAGCATTAGTCATATTTCAGATATATCTTATCTACGAAATTTAAAGGTAATACTACAATACTACTAAATTATATAATTTCATTAAAGTTTATATTTCTAATATATAATAATAATAATAATAATAATCTAATATATAATATATTTCTAATAATAAAGTTTATTTTCTTTAAATTGATATACAATAATAAGATATCATAGAATCTTTAACTTTAATTCTAATAAAATTAATGGTATTTTAGGAACTCTTTTTACATAACAATCGCATAATAACATTAAGGCAATGCGAACGCTATTTACCCTCATCTCTAGAAACATTTACATTGGCAAATAATAACATCACTGATTTGAATGAAATGTCACATCTAGCTAATTTAAAAAATGTAGTCAATTTTTCAATTGCTAATAACCCATGTGTCAGTATGACAGGTAACAGTATGTATCCTTTTTATAATTTTATAATTTAAGTTAATATTTTCACTTAGATTTTAGAAGTCAGTTAGTGGTACATTGCAGAAGTAATTTTATAAAACATTTTCTAATCACTCTTGATGTTATATAGAATTATTCTTTATCGATAAAATATGCTTGTAGAAAACTAGATATAAAATTGAAACATTCATACTAACTGTAGATTTACAGCTATAGCTTCTTAACAAATAGCTTATAGTGGTTTTGACTATCGACCTTTTGTTATCAATTGGTGTATGAGCTTGAAATCAATTGATGGCTATCCTGTTGATCCTATTGAAAGGTGGGTGTCTTTTTAGATACATTAGTTATTTCATATGTCATTTAATATATAGTCTGTTATTCAGTTTAAAGTATTAAAATTTACTTGATATGATGGCCACTCAGTTTAAAAGCAGAGTGGCTATATTCTCAGGGACGCGGTAGACAATTCCGTGTTGGCGAACATGCACTGCTTGCACAGTATTTAGCATCTGTTTGCCCACTTTCTGGTGAATCCCTAGAAAATGAAACTGACAGGAAGCTTAGGCTGATTTTGAGTAAAGCACAACATCATCAGCAACAATTAAATCAACAAAGTGATACTGGAAGTGTGCACAGCTTAAGTAGCGTCGGAATGAGTCCTTCTCCCGCTACTAGGCGTAGACTTAGTCATAACAGGACAGGTTCTCCTAGACGTGCCAGTGAGTTAATTAATCCTATATTTCGTTCATTATCGTTGCAAGTATAATAAAAACTTTTGTACAATTTTTCTTGTTATATTTATAAAACGTGGACTAGTAGTGATGTACACTTTCCAGTCGTCATGCATCTATATGTTCTAGTTATAATATGTTTTCTCTAGTTGCGCCAATGTTGACATACTATGAAGATAAATGCTTACAATCACCAAAATTTTATGAAGCAAAGTACTGTGTGTGCCATTCGCCTTGTAAAGGTATCCAAAGTCAAGATGAAAGTTAATCATACACGGTTATAACTGCATTATAACCATGTGTAAAAATCTTAGATAAATAACTTCTATTCTCTAAAAATATTAAGATTCAAGATTAAGTAACAACGAAAATATAATACTATACAATATGAACAAATTTTATCTTGGATTAATACACATGTTTATATCTTCTGTGCCTAGTATATAGTACGTTTTTAAGCGATTACGTTTTTAAGCTTATAGCGCAAATGACTTTGGAGAATGAAAAAACAGCAGTGTTGCAATAATGATGCTAATTAGAAAATTTGTTTAGCAAATTAGCATTTGACGATTTGGAAATATATTTCACATAGTTCACAATTTTTATACTGTTTATGTTTAGTCAAATATTATTTGCATGCTTCTGCTATTGAAGTTAGTCATAAAGAATTCAAATACAATTAAATATATGACAATATATAAAGTTCACTATCTATGTAAGTATAAGCTAGATGATATTTTACTAGGTTCATCAAGAAATTCATTACGAATAAGATCACCAGATAGAATGATATCCAGTTGTCACACTGATGCTATAGTATCTTCATGCCATACTTTATTAACTGAAGATCAGGAATCATTGATGACTCAAAGTTTGGACCCAAACATGCTTTGTGGTACTCTAAATAACAAAACAAATACTATTGTTTCACAAGATACAGAAGGTAAGTAATAAATGTCATTAATTTTCGTTTATTAATTAGATTTGGTTTGCAGAAACATCTAGCCCTCTACAAGCTGCAACAAAATTAGTACCAGTTCCAGAGTCTTTAATGAGTCCAGATTTTCGCCCACCGTCTGGTCTTTCCAGAGTTTTAGCAAAAACTCCACCAAGTAAATTAACATCACCATGTCAAATTACAATGCCAAGCAAACCTACTTCTGATGGAGATAGCAAAGCTATTCCTATAATAAATACAGTAAATCCAATGGCAAAAACAAATCTTACTTCTATAAAAGCAAATGCACTTGTAAAAAGTAATTCAGCATCAAATTGTGCTCTTGGAAAACCAAATATTGCTAAACCTATTATTACAAATACTAGTAATAAATGCCCCCATAGTGTGAAAATCAATAATTACGTTCAGAGCAAAACATTGCCAGCAAAACGAAATACAAAAAACTCACCAAATTTAGGCAGAAATGTACAAAGGCCAAAGAGTGCAAACGATAAAATTAAAAGTAGCGTTATTAAAAAAAATGGAGATGGTGATGCAGATAATGCTACCCAAAGTAGTGATGAAGATAGTGAAGTATGTCAAGCAAAATTAGATAGCATTCGACATAGAGCTATTCAAAGAAGACAGGAAGATAATAAAGGTAATTCTATTTTTTTCATTAAGTAAGTATACATATAGGATATTTTCAGAGCCTAATGATTTTACCTTCCTTAAAAATAGATCAAGATGAAGCTGAAAAAGCAGCAATATGTATTCAAAGAATGTGGAGAGGATATCATACTAGAAATCTTAACAAAAAAGCAACAACTATACTAAAGACTATTGAAATGATAAGAACAAACAAGTATATCCAGTATGGTTTTCATCTTCTCATTAAATAAATATAATATCTTTTTCAAAATATCATACAAATTTTTCATCTCTTAGGAAATTATCTACTGATATGGAAGCCACTAGAACTGCATTAGAAAGTGAACATAAACTACAATTATTACAAATGCAAGCAATTAATGCATTGTGGAAAAAGGTTGTTAGTTTACAACCTACTAATCGAGATTCTACAAACAGTGACAATGAAAATATTGCACAGAATGTAGATGTTGTAACTAATTTAGCACAAACATGTAATCTGTTGCATACTCAGGTAAAATATGAGTTTTATTTTTGTAATGGGCTTTAAAATATTAATAAGATTCCTATTTTTTTTTAAATATGATATGTGGTTAGGTTCAACAATTACAAGACTCTATGTCAGAAATAAAACGATGCATGTCGAATATGCAATCAAAATCCAATCTTATTGATAATGGTGTTGCAACTCAAACGGAAATATCAGCTGTTCATACTCCAGCAGGCGAAGAATATATGTTTCCTTATGCACGACCACATAGACCGCAGACATTACCGATTCATCAAACAATTCACGAAGGGAATGAGAATAAAAGTTTTGCATCTAATTTAATCGATAGTGTATTAAAAAAAGTCTCTCAGTCTACTGATACGACAGACGATGAAGTTAATACTGACATCTTAAACTCTAATGAGAATCCAGAATTACTGAATTCAAACGAACATCCTGACATGTTTAAAAGTTGTGAAGAGATTATAGAACCTGATTTTAAGGAACATGATACAAAAAACGAGTATGATGTAATCGAAAATGCTGTCATAAATGGTGAAGTTTGTGAAGAAACACTATGTAAAGAATTACACAATTTAATTGAAACAGAAATTACAACAGAAAATTGCACAAATTTGGAAAAGGAAAATAATTCAGAAGAAGTTGAAAGAGAATAATTTTAATTTGACAAGGCATACAAAAAACAATAACAAAAAGAATGAAGGTGCAAAGTTAAAAGCCTCAAATAACAATAATAAGAAACATATTTGAATTTCAATGATTAGTCTAATATATAAATAACAATAATACATTTTTGACAAAAGATACTCATTGTACATAAGTTGAGAGATTAGTCTTAATTATATCCAGGTAACAAAATTTAATGCTTTTAATTACATATGTCTCTCACATTTCAAAATCAGACTCATTAAATTAAAAAAAAATTATAAAATACATATAAAAGATACAATTTTAAAAAGCAATGTCATTATGTTAATTCATTATGTATTGTATATTGTGGCCATTGAAGCAATTTTGAAATTCTTCCGTCCACATATCTGGCTTTTGAAAAATTTTGCTCATGTATAAAGTGTGTATTAAGGATGTTATATGTTTCACAGAAAGCTTTGCTCCTTCTTTACCATCATAGAAATATTGTACAGGAGAAACGGTCATGAAGTTCAATGTTATACTTGTCAATTCTCAGATTGAAATATTTATAAGGACACAAAAGAGAATTTTGATATATGAGTACATTCCTCATAAAATAACGGAAAATTTTTAAGTTTTACTAAAAAAATGTCTTGAATAATGTTATTTAGAAAACTATTATTTTTATGTATTTATTTTCTTATTTATTTATTTATTTATTGAAGACTATAAACCTTAGAAAAAAATTATTATCACTTCAAAATATAAATAATAATGAAAACATTTTTAATCTAGTCACTGCAAAAACTCCTACATATAATTGCTGTAGATATTAACTAAAACTTGTTACATAGATATACAGTGTTATTAAAACAAATAAAATCTTTCAACGAAAATAAGTAATTGTTAAAAAATGTGAGTTTTTGTTTATAAGAAAAAGCGCTGTAATAATTTTTTTATGTGTGTATATTACTTGAGTTTTACTATTGAAAACATTTCATATAAAAATTTCAATACAATAAATCGCTACTGATATCACAATATCATTAAAATGAAAGAAACTATATGTGAGCTTCTACTAAAACTCTTAATACTTATTTTGTGACATACTTCTATAAGTGTGTCATATAAGGCACTTTAATGCTCAAAATTGTTAAGAATTTAACATAAATGTTAACTAAATAAGTCGTATACATTAAATAGATGTTTACAATAATATTTACTTTTATATAATTGACATGTGTATATTATCTATTCAGTACGTTTACTTTTTTACTCCTTGAAATTTTGTATTGGAATGCTTCACTTTAAATTATGACAAAAAATATGCAATCGCATTTGTAAAAGCAGAAATTACTATATAAAATACTTGATGTAATATAAACATGCTTCACATGTTCCTTTCATATTTACTAACTTTTAACAAAATGTATGCAAAATAATATATTTTTAACAGAACAATACTCACAATATTTTCAACATACATGATTGCAATATTGTTTTTGTTTTTCTCTGTGCACTTTACATAAACTGTTATTGAATAATGAAACTGCTTGAATCAAAATAAATATAAAAAAAATAATAAAAAGTATTTATTAGTATATTATTTTTAAATTTGATACTATTTTATACAAAAAAATTTTTAATAATTTCGATTAGCATAGAAGTATTTTATGTTTGTTAAAAATATTAACATTATATATAAAGATAAATTTACATAAATTATTTTTAATTTAAAATATATATAAAAAATTTTATATTTTCACAGTTTTTTATAAAATATTTTGTTTTTATTTAAACATTCTTTGACAAGAAGCTTTTTCAATAGCTAAATATGAATTCATAACTTTTTTAACTTTATCAATTTCTAGTAAAATATCCTTATTATTAGGAGATACTAATAATGCGTGTTTCAAATCTGCTAAACCTAAATCATATTCATTTAGTCCCATGTATGCCTGACTTCTACGAAATAATGCTTTACTGTTGTTTTTATTTAATTCTAAAACCTAAATATAAAATTATTATTAGATAGTAACTCAAAACATATACAATATACCATTTAATCTTACCTCTGAACAAAGCTTTAAAACTTCACGGTACTCTTTTTCTTTCAGTTTAACAGCTGCAAAATTAAGTAATATAGTCACTTTGGTATTCATTATTAGTTCACTAGAAGAATCTGGTGCATCCATAGTTTTAATCATCCACTTATAATAGCGTAATGCTTTTTTATATTTTCTTTCTGCATCTACATAATTTTTTTGTAAAAAATAATAATTTCCTGAATCCTTTATCTTTCGAATAACTTCTATCACATAGTTGCACTAAAAGTATCCATAAATGTTTATAAAAAAAGAAAACACTTTTGTAACAAATATATACCTATAACAGAAGTTCTTACATCAATTTCTTTAACTTCTGTGAAATAATCCCAATCTTCTGGCCATGGAGTAAACACATCTTCCGTATCATCACTCTCTTCCACACCCCAATTTTGATTTTGTTTCAATTCACCACAATCAATTATATATATTTTCTACAATAAAGGGTAATTATTACTAAACTAATCTAAATACAAAGAAAATTATATAAAGTACATACTAACCTTAACTGGTATATCTTTAATTGTCATAATTTGAGATACTTCTAATACTACTCCCATTCCTTTTAAAACCTTACCAAATACTACATTGATATTATCTAAATGTGTAGTGGCTGAAGTAGTAATTATAAACTGAGAGCTGTTGCTATTTGGATAACCCTTATTTACCATGCTTAATAATCCTCCTGATGAATGAGAAAGTTTAAAATTTTCATCCTCAAATTGTGTTCCATATATACTTTCTCCACTTGTTCCATCAAAATTTATTATATCTCCACCTTGGATCATAAACTGTGATAGCACTGAATCATAAAAAAACTTTCTCACTAACTATATTATATTTTCCAATATCTTTAGGAAACATTAATCGTTTTTGATATACCTTTATGAAATGTTGATCCCTTGTAATGTAACTTTTTACCATTAATACCAATACCTTTTTCTCCAGTACATAATGCACGAAAATTTTCTGCTGTTCGAGGTACAACATCTTTAAAAAGCTCTATCACAACTCTTCCAACTGTATCATAGTATCATATAAATTATTTTTAAATTTCTAATGAAATGAAATGTAAAAAAAGAACAATAATACATACACTGAAAGCTGAAATTTGACTTATATGCCTTCACAATTATAATTTCAGTACATTACCTTTTTCTGATTCAATTGTTATATCTAAAAACACGATTGGATTATTTCTACAGTCACTGTTTTGATTCCTTGATGAGTCTTCCATAGTTTATTTAATATATACCCATGCATGAAATAAAGTTTTAAATTCTTGTTTGTTCAATAACCCCAATACCACAAACGAACGATAACACAGAATTAACATCTTATGAGATATTACGTTTTACAAACTGAAATACCGACTGTAAAAACTAACAGTGATTTAGTTGCTTCTAATGAATTGAAATCAATAAAATTGTAACTAAATATGTGAAAGATAGTCTAACTTTGAATGTAAAAAATAAAAATCTGTATTAGAAAAAAAAAATTACTATTTAACATTGTGTAATACAAAATCTCCAACAAAAAGATATTATACATTTGTATAAAAAGGCTATTTGCATTCTCAGAACATTAGTTTTTAACATAATCTATTTAAAAGAACATTCTTACTTTTTTAAATATTACATGCGAGAAAAAGTAGAATTATAACTCTGCTCTATTTTAGGCTCCCAAAGTCCATACCATGTTAGATCTATTCTACACTTTGTCTGTGGTATTGTCCTGTTTGTTAATTTTTAATATTAGTCTTTTTCAATTTTAAATAATAAATATAGGAATCTCTCATTATAAAATAGTATTCTGATATCACGCAAAATTTTATAAAAAAAAAAAAATTATATAAATGTAGCGTCAAAAATATGGTGTCCCAAGGTCCCACCGAGATTTGAACTCGGATCGCTGGATTCAGAGTCCAGAGTGCTAACCATTACACCATAGGACCTTTCATGTCAATACCTTATTCATGTAATATATAGAGGAAGGAAATTTTTATATATAAAAAAATAATTAATCACATCTAACTATACTTAAATATCAATTATATTATGTATTTTTTATATTAGTATGTTTTATAACAATTTCAATTATCAAAACTAATATGAAAGTATATATTTACATAATTATGGATAAAAAAATATAAGACATATTAGCTTTTTATATTGTTGTAATAAGTATATAACAATGAAGTTTCTGACAGTATAACATATAATGTATATAGATTCGCAGTAATTTTTGTATACATTTATGTATGTGTACATATACACAGATATATATATACTCTATAAATTATAGTAATATACAACCAAGCAATTCAGATTATCAGTATATAGATCATATATAATCAAAATTCTAAAAGCTCGTATCTAGCACTAGCACAATAGTATTACACAATATCACTATTAGAACTTTTATACTTCAATACCTGTCTAAGAACAATGATTACATGCCTTCCCTTCCAAAATGAATTTTTTTTACTCAACTCCAATTTTATAAGAAACTTACATATGCTAGATTTACGAAGCAATTCGTATTTAAATGAACAATGAGTAAATTAACAATATTTCACATTAAAGCATTGTCCATACTATTTGAGCAATAAAAATTTACATTTTATTTTATCTATGTGACACTAATACATAAAATAGTGTGCAAAAATGATCTTATTTCTGTTTTCACCTTGCCTTATATATCTCATATATAAGCAAATTTGGCAAATAGTCTTAATAACTTCAATTTTTTTTCTAGTAAATAGAATAGTATGTAGCCAATATAAAGTAATATTTTTAAAGGGTGTAGATTATATATTGTACAAATACAACCCCAGATAGAAATGCTGTTTGTTCTAAAGCCAAGTTAGATAAACGTGCAGATTTAATGAGTTAATAAAAAAAGAGTAAGCGTTCCTGAGCACTTCCAGGTAATAGTCTCCAACCACGTTTAATGTTCACATATTGAACAAGAGCTCGTGCACAAATCAAAACTCCTAGAAAAATAAATGTAACATATATTAATAGTACAAGTATTTAAGATTAATGTCAATAACAAAGTACTAACCAAATCCCATTATCACCCACCATAGCCATGAATTTTCACGTGACGCAAGATCGGTGGAATGTTTAACAATTAATGTCCATTTTGTCAAAGATAAACCAAAGCCAGCTAATGCTCCATATCGAGATGCAATTGTGTGACAGAAACACAACAAAAATAGAAATCCAATCCAATTGAACAAAAATGCAACTATAAAAATATATTTATTTGTTAGAGTAGTACATGGTAAAATAATCAAATACATAACTTACCCAAAAATCCTATAAAGAACATAAAATCAGTGCCAAGTAAACCACTTTCTGGATCTCCCTCAGCTGCTTCAGTATCTATAGCCAGAATTGTTAAAGGCCTTGGTGGTGTTCTAATATTTTCAGGCTATAAAAGTTTTGTAAGTATAATTTTATAATATATATTTGTACAACATTTACTTAATTTTTAGAAACTATTAATTAGTAATAATTACATAATTCTGTAAAATTAATTACCATGTGGATTTGAGGACAAGGTTCCCCTTGTAATGTTTTTTCACGTTGAACTTCTTCATAACTAGGTAATTTTGTGGCTACTTCGTATGGTGGTGGAGCTGAAAAATCTGCCTTTGGAGGAGGGATTTCTTCTCCTTCAGTCTGCAATAATAATTTGCTTAATAATAACAATTTTCAACTATGTGATACAAATTTACATCATACCATTCGATTTTCAATTGAAGTTTGTGCTGCAGCTATATTCCCTGAATTAATTATGTCATTTTGCATAACTGGTAGAGACACAGTTAATGTAGGTATTTCATTTTGAGACGATGATTCTCCATTTGAATTACTGTTTGTTTGTGAGGGCTAAAATTATATTATAAACACTGTTTAATATTTAACATCAATAAAGAACTTCAAGTATTTGAACAAATCATATGATTCTTATGTTTTCAACACAAACAATATACATATTATCAATATTCAATGTTAAGGAAATTAAAATAATATAACAAAGTGAGAGTTGTTTTTATTTTATTTAATTTTTCATGTGAAGTTACTCTAAAGAAACAAACGACATTCGAACAATGTTTTTATCGATATTTGCACGTCAGTATTTGTGCATAGCTCATATTATAATACATAGGAACATTATTTTACGTACATAAAATATATTTATGAAATAAAAGACACTTTGGCAATTGGAGACAAATCGTAAATTGTTCATTAGTACCTTTAAAATATTGCACACGAAGAATATTTATTACGATCAGCATCATTTATGAAACATACCATATTGTAATGAATACTACTATCCATTCCGGGTGAAATTTATACGAAGCGCGAGTAAATTATTTTGGTTACGCAGAACAAATTAAAAATACTGTTTTTGTACGTAATGCTGCTTTCTAAGGCAGCAAAAGTTCTTACAATCGATAGCTGACAGCTGGCAGGGCTGTATCGCCGTGAACATAGATCTTCTTAAACTTTCACGTCTATCATTTCTGTTACCATTTTCAACCAATTAATGTTTTTCAGTTATTTATTAAAAAATATTTCTTTCATTAATATAAAATTTATATTTTCATTATTAAATAACAATTTACGTATTTATTTCAAACTTTAGGTAAAAGTTTAATAATTTTGAAATCACATTCTGATTGGTTGTTCACGCAATGACATTGAAAATAGGGTTGTAGGACGGTAATCTAACAAATCAGAATTTTTCTTGTTACCGGAAGTAAGTAATTACAAATTAATACTATTTTGATATTGTTATTTGTACAAAAAGTAATGTATTTGATTAAAATAATGAATAAATATATATTTATGCAGTTTATTTTGCAAAGTAAGCGAATAAATGAGAACGAGATATTCATTTGAATCAAGTGCGTTGGAGGGGGTATTTGGATCACGTCGTCATGCACAAAAAGTCGCTTGCCGATTGTGAGAAAAGTAAGGAGGTATTATTATGTCGGAGGTATTCAAACTGGGTGATCTTGTATGGTGTGTAATCATTACGTGTTAATCAATGAATGTTTGTAATAAAAATAGTGAAATGCAAATGGCAGTGATTATTAATCGATGTCTTTATGGATTTCAGGGCGAAGATGAAAGGATTTTCGCCTTGGCCAGGTCGGGTAAGTCTGAGTTAACTACTAACGGTTCTATGTTAACTACACTTTGCTTGGTTGTACGCGCCACGAAGTCAAACGCGATCATCACATTTGGCGGGAACATTTCGAGTGCCATTTAATTTTTCTCAACTGTATATCGTAGCATCGTAAATTGATATATTTTATTCAATATTAACGCTACCATTTCTCATCGTTACAATCTCCCGCCGCATACGACCTTCAAATTTAAATTGGCGCGCAGACTATGAAAATATAACCTAAATTATATTCTGCCATTTCATAACTTTAGCCACTATATTCATAGATAAACCAAAACTTACATGTTTACATTACGTACAATTAAGCAATTGTTGTTCAAATCATTTATTTTTTTATAAGAAAAAGGATTTTGATTTTGTCGTGAGATCAGTATTTATAAAATATTCGCGCGTTAATTATAATTTTCTTTATTTATAAATGAATTAAATCATACCATATATGATCATGAATTATATATTTATTTATAATAATTTATTTTTTATTTTTTATTTGCGTATTCTTCTCGAATAAAGTTTCAAGCTATTAAATTATTTGATTTTTATCTATATATAATATTATTTCAATCATTTAAATTAAAATTACTGATGCATTTAATATTTACTTATCTATATTAAAGTATTTCATTTGGTATTATAAATGTAGTATCATAAATAAACCCAATTGATCTATTAAATAAAAAGATTTAGTTTTTGTTTATGACTTCTTTTTGATTGATTTTAGTTTTCTATGAAATATGAAATATAATAATATGAATATATGAGTATCCTTAATATTCCTCTTTTCACAATATGATATTTTGCTTTTATTATTTAACATGGAGAATATGTAATTTTTATTATATATCTAATAATTTCTCCATGGCATCTTAAGGTGTCTAATCCTTCAAAGGACTTAAAGAAACCAACAAATACTAAGAAGGGGCCAGTTCAGTGTATTTTCTTCTTTGGAACAAATAATTAGTAAGTTTGGAAGAAGTTATTATTTTTTCATGTTTTATAATATCTTGATTTTTAAAACTTATAAAGGATATTTCTTATAGCGCATGGATAGAGGAATCTAATATAAAACCATATCTAGAATACAAAGATACTCTTGTAAAGTCTAGTAAATCTGGTGCATTTAAAGATGCAGTAGAAGCAATAGAGGAATTTATTGCTAATGGAGAGGTAAGTTATATAAATTAAATAAAAGTTATTTAATGCATTGACAATATATTGCCAATGATTGAAAAATCATATATTTTTTTAATATTTTGTACTCGTTATTTCTTATTATTTCTTAATACAATATATAATAAGAAATAGTAATATATAAAAAATTATTAAGTATAATGAAAATTATTAACTATAATAATGTTATTTGCTTTAGGTATTTGAAGATGGCTTAGATCCAGACTCCTTGTTCGACAGACTTAAAGAAGAAAGTATATCTGAGAAGAAGAATATTGTAAAAACACCTAAACCTCGTAAGGTTAGGTTTATATTATAGATTATAGTAAACAGTTTGGTTGAAACATACATTTTAATGGATTGGAATAATAGAACAAATTTAACAAATACTGTGATTAGTATCAATGTAAAATGTCATATTCCATAATTGGTATGTAACATAAAATATGACATAAAATTATTGGTTTAGGAAACACCAAAAACTAAAAGATTGGACTCTAGTGCAAGTGATGCTCGTCGTCCTGCCAAAAAACAGCGAAGAGAATCAAGTACAAGTAACAGTAATAGGGTTGGCAGCATTAGTCCAGCATTAAATCATTCAACACCACTCAGGAAATCAGGATCAACTCTTCTTAACAGGCCCGCAAATATTGCTAGACCTGTAAGTATATTTTATTTTACATATTAGTATTTCATATTATTAACATATACAAAAAGTATCTTTCTTGAAAAAATTTTTGCTTATGATATCGTTTGTCTATTATCAATATGAAAGAAAATTAAATAGTTTAATTTGAAGCAGTAAATTCAAAATATCTTGTGTTAAATATTTTTATCTGAACATTTACTAGGAACAGGAACTTACTCTTTTTTGGGTATTAAATTCCATCAACTTTTACCTATTCATGTAAATAAATAAACAACGACAACATTGTGCCTTTTTTATTTCCTTTCCATCAATATCAAATTAATATTATTTAATATAGATTATAAATATTCCACCCACATTTTTAAATTACAGAATAAGATTGTATCTCATTTTTATAAAATAGCATAGCTTTTAAAATATGTATGAATGAATTTTTATTGATAAACTATTGCAACTATATATCTATAAAGGAATATTAACGAGATTGCAAAATTTTACAAAAATGTACTGATGTCAACTGTTGATTTAATAGCATAAATTCATCCTTTCTGTCTTTATTAAATTTATTAAATTAATATTACATTTATTCCTACCTTCAATAAATTTAGTTCTTTTTTTAATTGAAAAATATAGTCATGGTCATTTATTTTTATTTTTGCAATTACCTTTGATGCGTTGTTTTTTAATTAAAGCAAAACTAAATTAATTGTTAATATGTTACTACTTAACACGACAGGTGACACCGCCTTTGGACGTGGAAACATTGTCACAAACGCTTAAAGAAAAAAACATCCTTCCATCAACCTTGAAATTTGGATTCCTTGGTTTGGGAATCATGGGAAGCGGCATCGTAAAAAACCTGATCAACAGTGGGCACAGCGTAATTGTGTGGAATCGGACACAGGAGAAGGTATGTACAATTCATTTACTTATGATGTAATGCAATGATATACGATGGTTACATGCAATTACAGTAATGTTGTTTCATTGTCACGAGTAATAATATTCTTTATAATTATAAAGGGAAGGTTACATTTCGTATATGATATTAAAATTAATGAATTTTATTTAAACATAACGAGCTGAGTATTAAAAGAGAAGCAATAAAAATAGTAAAAAGTTCGAATTAATTTCTACGAATTAAATTGTAGATATAGTCTGATAAAATTTTTTATTTCAAACTATGTTATGTTTCAATTGGTCACGTGACTGCATAATTTGGTTTGGGGAAAAATTTGAATTTATATTTTCGATAGAATATAGAAATTTGTTTGTACAACAAATTTTATATAAGCTGACACGACGGTCTTCGCTGTCAATTTTGTTGTTGCATTGTCAGCAAATATGATATTGCCGTGTTTAGTTCCTTCTGCAGTGTATCTTACCTTCAGTCAACGAATGTTAATGCTGCACGATACGCAGGATTTGAATTTTGTTCTCAGACGACATGCAGACATTCTTTTCCTTTTTTCCAACAAATTATTTTAATGATTTGGTGAAAATGAAAGATAGGGGAGCAAGAAAAAAAGATATTTTCATAAACAATCTCATTTATTGATCATGCTGCATGTTCAACTTATTTTTAAAACTACTTATCTTAAATTATAATTTAAAACAAATATTAAGGTAGTAACAGAAAACTAAATCATTTGTCAGGCAAAGAACGAAATGTCCTGTTAGGGACACATAGGTATTTGAATTGTAAAGTAATTCAATAATTCTGCCCTGACTATCGCATGATGCGCGATGGAAAAAGTAGGATATGTATTTATTGGAAAATGTTTTGCACGTTTTCCTTCATTTTGCAGTCATAAAATCCACGATATTAAATAACATACGCGTGCGTGCTCTCGCGCGCGCGCTCCCCACACACACATACATACGTACACACACGTACACACAAAATATGATTTGCAATTTTGTATTTAAGTGTAAAAAAAGAAAGAAACATAGGAACAAGAGTGGAAGTAACAATTTTCCTGCATCGATTAAATCAAGAAATTATTCTAATCTTTTCTAAAAGTATCGTAATATTATTTCTACAAAAATAAATATTTTCACAAATTTTTGTTAGCATTCGTAACCTGTGTTCAATAATAGGCTTAAAAAAATGTAGAAAAATACAAACTACCAAAAGCATTCGAAACATCACGAAGTCGTATTTTCGTTAGAGGAACTTTTGGTTATTGAGAAACTATACACAATTTGAATGTTCAATATAACAAAATATAGTGCACACGCGATTTACGTTATCTTTCATTTTGCTTCACATAATACGTAAGATCTTGGAACGAATGTTTTATGGTATTCCACAGCCTATTTTTGACGAGTGGTTGTGTTCCGATAAAGTACATCTGTGGCCACCTAATTTGTATACCTAATAGCCTTAATGAATGTTCAACGGTTAATAGCTAAACCTATAATCAGTTCCGTGAATCAATAGACATGACATATAGATCCCGACTGCATTATCGAAAATAAACATTTAAGGAACAGTGTGGCGGCACCTAATATAATTTTGCTTGGGCAACCCTTAAAAGCACGTGTAATTAAGTCTTCGTTATTTCGTATCGTGACATTTTACTTTAGAAAACGTTCAGACTTACAATTTTTACTGTATAGGAGTAACTTCTTTCATCTTCCGAGTTTGAAGATATATTCGAGCAATGGATAGTCTTATAGATCGCATGCGCTTAATAGATAATTATCCGAAGATAACAAGTGAAATTTTAAGACGATGTGCGTGGTATCGAAATTCTATGAAATTTTCTATAACGGTGTACTTTCCTCTCGAACAATTAACTGTGTACAGTTTTCGGCCAGGCTGTTGCGGAAAATAGCACTACCAAAATAGCAAAATAATGCGAGAAATGCCTTCTCAAAAATATATATATTCCGATTTGGAAAGATCGAAACTGTATATCTGTAACGTAAACTAGATTCCGTTAAGACCGGTTCCGCGATAACGAAAATTTCCAGATAACGAAGGTAATGAGCTATTCGGAGGTTACGATGACATATTTATTATCGTGTTACTAGGAGATTCGACTAACGCGATATTTGGATATGAAATGTCGAAATTAAAAATGCCTCCGCGCACGTGTATCGAAGTTCGTGGAGGACGATTAAAAATCGAATCGCGTGAGACACGTTACTATACCACCGCTAAGATTCATGTCGGCCACACCAATCACCTAATCCGTTTGCTTTCCTTCGTTCGTCACGAGACGCGACTTGAATCCGTTTTCCCGCAACGTCATTCACGGTAACGGTAGTTTGTTAGTCGCACGGTGCCCCGTATTTCGTGGCGCATGCTTTTTGTTGTATTTGTCGCGTTCCCGTATAAATTAAAATTACTGATGCATTTAATATTTACTTATCTATATTAAAGTATTTCATTTGGTATTATAAATGTAGTATCATAAATAAACCCAATTGATCTATTAAATAAAAAGATTTAGTTTTTGTTTATGACTTCTTTTTGATTGATTTTAGTTTTCTATGAAATATGAAATATAATAATATGAATATATGAGTATCCTTAATATTCCTCTTTTCACAATATGATATTTTGCTTTTATTATTTAACATGGAGAATATGTAATTTTTATTATATATCTAATAATTTCTCCATGGCATCTTAAGGTGTCTAATCCTTCAAAGGACTTAAAGAAACCAACAAATACTAAGAAGGGGCCAGTTCAGTGTATTTTCTTCTTTGGAACAAATAATTAGTAAGTTTGGAAGAAGTTATTATTTTTTCATGTTTTATAATATCTTGATTTTTAAAATTTAAAAAGGATATTTCTTATAGCGCATGGATAGAGGAATCTAATATAAAACCATATCTAGAATACAAAGATACTCTTGTAAAGTCTAGTAAATCTGGTGCATTTAAAGATGCAGTAGAAGCAATAGAGGAATTTATTGCTAATGGAGAGGTAAGTTATATAAATTAAATAAAAGTTATTTAATGCATTGACAATATATTGCCAATGATTGAAAAATCATATATTTTTTTAATATTTTGTACTCGTTATTTCTTATTATTTCTTAATACAATATATAATAAGAAATAGTAATATATAAAAAATTATTAAGTATAATGAAAATTATTAACTATAATAATGTTATTTGCTTTAGGTATTTGAAGATGGCTTAGATCCAGACTCCTTGTTCGACAGACTTAAAGAAGAAAGTATATCTGAGAAGAAGAATATTGTAAAAACACCTAAACCTCGTAAGGTTAGGTTTATATTATAGATTATAGTAAACAGTTTGGTTGAAACATACATTTTAATGGATTGGAATAATAGAACAAATTTAACAAATACTGTGATTAGTATCAATGTAAAATGTCATATTCCATAATTGGTATGTAACATAAAATATGACATAAAATTATTGGTTTAGGAAACACCAAAAACTAAAAGATTGGACTCTAGTGCAAGTGATGCTCGTCGTCCTGCCAAAAAACAGCGAAGAGAATCAAGTACAAGTAACAGTAATAGGGTTGGCAGCATTAGTCCAGCATTAAATCATTCAACACCACTCAGGAAATCAGGATCAACTCTTCTTAACAGGCCCGCAAATATTGCTAGACCTGTAAGTATATTTTATTTTACATATTAGTATTTCATATTATTAACATATACAAAAAGTATCTTTCTTGAAAAAATTTTTGCTTATGATATCGTTTGTCTATTATCAATATGAAAGAAAATTAAATAGTTTAATTTGAAGCAGTAAATTCAAAATATCTTGTGTTAAATATTTTTATCTGAACATTTACTAGGAACAGGAACTTACTCTTTTTTGGGTATTAAATTCCATCAACTTTTACCTATTCATGTAAATAAATAAACAACGACAACATTGTGCCTTTTTTATTTCCTTTCCATCAATATCAAATTAATATTATTTAATATAGATTATAAATATTCCACCCACATTTTTAAATTACAGAATAAGATTGTATCTCATTTTTATAAAATAGCATAGCTTTTAAAATATGTATGAATGAATTTTTATTGATAAACTATTGCAACTATATATCTATAAAGGAATATTAACGAGATTGCAAAATTTTACAAAAATGTACTGATGTCAACTGTTGATTTAATAGCATAAATTCATCCTTTCTGTCTTTATTAAATTTATTAAATTAATATTACATTTATTCCTACCTTCAATAAATTTAGTTCTTTTTTTAATTGAAAAATATAGTCATGGTCATTTATTTTTATTTTTGCAATTACCTTTGATGCGTTGTTTTTTAATTAAAGCAAAACTAAATTAATTGTTAATATGTTACTACTTAACACGACAGGTGACACCGCCTTTGGACGTGGAAACATTGTCACAAACGCTTAAAGAAAAAAACATCCTTCCATCAACCTTGAAATTTGGATTCCTTGGTTTGGGAATCATGGGAAGCGGCATCGTAAAAAACCTGATCAACAGTGGGCACAGCGTAATTGTGTGGAATCGGACACAGGAGAAGGTATGTACAATTCATTTACTTATGATGTAATGCAATGATATACGATGGTTACATGCAATTACAGTAATGTTGTTTCATTGTCACGAGTAATAATATTCTTTATAATTATAAAGGGAAGGTTACATTTCGTATATGATATTAAAATTAATGAATTTTATTTAAACATAACGAGCTGAGTATTAAAAGAGAAGCAATAAAAATAGTAAAAAGTTCGAATTAATTTCTACGAATTAAATTGTAGATATAGTCTGATAAAATTTTTTATTTCAAACTATGTTATGTTTCAATTGGTCACGTGACTGCATAATTTGGTTTGGGGAAAAATTTGAATTTATATTTTCGATAGAATATAGAAATTTGTTTGTACAACAAATTTTATATAAGCTGACACGACGGTCTTCGCTGTCAATTTTGTTGTTGCATTGTCAGCAAATATGATATTGCCGTGTTTAGTTCCTTCTGCAGTGTATCTTACCTTCAGTCAACGAATGTTAATGCTGCACGATACGCAGGATTTGAATTTTGTTCTCAGACGACATGCAGACATTCTTTTCCTTTTTTCCAACAAATTATTTTAATGATTTGGTGAAAATGAAAGATAGGGGAGCAAGAAAAAAAGATATTTTCATAAACAATCTCATTTATTGATCATGCTGCATGTTCAACTTATTTTTAAAACTACTTATCTTAAATTATAATTTAAAACAAATATTAAGGTAGTAACAGAAAACTAAATCATTTGTCAGGCAAAGAACGAAATGTCCTGTTAGGGACACATAGGTATTTGAATTGTAAAGTAATTCAATAATTCTGCCCTGACTATCGCATGATGCGCGATGGAAAAAGTAGGATATGTATTTATTGGAAAATGTTTTGCACGTTTTCCTTCATTTTGCAGTCATAAAATCCACGATATTAAATAACATACGCGTGCGTGCTCTCGCGCGCGCGCTCCCCACACACACATACATACGTACACACACGTACACACAAAATATGATTTGCAATTTTGTATTTAAGTGTAAAAAAAGAAAGAAACATAGGAACAAGAGTGGAAGTAACAATTTTCCTGCATCGATTAAATCAAGAAATTATTCTAATCTTTTCTAAAAGTATCGTAATATTATTTCTACAAAAATAAATATTTTCACAAATTTTTGTTAGCATTCGTAACCTGTGTTCAATAATAGGCTTAAAAAAATGTAGAAAAATACAAACTACCAAAAGCATTCGAAACATCACGAAGTCGTATTTTCGTTAGAGGAACTTTTGGTTATTGAGAAACTATACACAATTTGAATGTTCAATATAACAAAATATAGTGCACACGCGATTTACGTTATCTTTCATTTTGCTTCACATAATACGTAAGATCTTGGAACGAATGTTTTATGGTATTCCACAGCCTATTTTTGACGAGTGGTTGTGTTCCGATAAAGTACATCTGTGGCCACCTAATTTGTATACCTAATAGCCTTAATGAATGTTCAACGGTTAATAGCTAAACCTATAATCAGTTCCGTGAATCAATAGACATGACATATAGATCCCGACTGCATTATCGAAAATAAACATTTAAGGAACAGTGTGGCGGCACCTAATATAATTTTGCTTGGGCAACCCTTAAAAGCACGTGTAATTAAGTCTTCGTTATTTCGTATCGTGACATTTTACTTTAGAAAACGTTCAGACTTACAATTTTTACTGTATAGGAGTAACTTCTTTCATCTTCCGAGTTTGAAGATATATTCGAGCAATGGATAGTCTTATAGATCGCATGCGCTTAATAGATAATTATCCGAAGATAACAAGTGAAATTTTAAGACGATGTGCGTGGTATCGAAATTCTATGAAATTTTCTATAACGGTGTACTTTCCTCTCGAACAATTAACTGTGTACAGTTTTCGGCCAGGCTGTTGCGGAAAATAGCACTACCAAAATAGCAAAATAATGCGAGAAATGCCTTCTCAAAAATATATATATTCCGATTTGGAAAGATCGAAACTGTATATCTGTAACGTAAACTAGATTCCGTTAAGACCGGTTCCGCGATAACGAAAATTTCCAGATAACGAAGGTAATGAGCTATTCGGAGGTTACGATGACATATTTATTATCGTGTTACTAGGAGATTCGACTAACGCGATATTTGGATATGAAATGTCGAAATTAAAAATGCCTCCGCGCACGTGTATCGAAGTTCGTGGAGGACGATTAAAAATCGAATCGCGTGAGACACGTTACTATACCACCGCTAAGATTCATGTCGGCCACACCAATCACCTAATCCGTTTGCTTTCCTTCGTTCGTCACGAGACGCGACTTGAATCCGTTTTCCCGCAACGTCATTCACGGTAACGGTAGTTTGTTAGTCGCACGGTGCCCCGTATTTCGTGGCGCATGCTTTTTGTTGTATTTGTCGCGTTCCCGTTTTCGAGGGATGATAAAATTTTATCTCTTTGAAGTCGCTGAAGCGATCCAAAAATAACGGCGAAGCTCCGCTACTGCATGCGTTAGCTAGCTCTCTTGCTCGTTTCGACGGCCATGCAACGTGTGTGGTGGGGGTAGCCGCGAGGGTCGCTTCAGCGGGAAGAAGAGGGGGAAAGATTTGAAAAGAAAGAAAATCGGGAACTCCCGCGTTTAACGTATTAACACGAACTGCAATGTCCACTGGGGCCAAGAAGCGGAACTGCGCGCGCTACATTTTCTGCGGATTAATTCTATAGTATACATAAAGTACTACGCGTACATTCGATTAGTTGTTCAGTTATCGAACACGATTAATTACGGGAATGTTATTTCGAAAGAAAATACGCGTTTGAAGAATAGAACTGAACATTAGTCCGTGAGTATTTTAACATCATTTTAGCTCGCAATTCTATTTTTAGTTTTCTCGTAACAATTTTATTATGAATTTTAGAGAAAGGTTTAACGGATCGAATAGCGCGTGGTATTAACTAGTTCAACTGCATTAGCCATCACGTTTAGTCTAAACCAACGATTCTTGATTGTTTTTCGATCAAACGGTACAGCGGCAAATGGCGCAACGCTTGAGAACCACTTCCCAGGACGGAAAATAGTGGCAAATTTATGACTACTGTTTATAGCAATGCCTCTGGAAGGGCCGATCTACGATTAGATCTGTTCGCTTGAATTTATTGCGAAATACAACTTAATATAAGTTCAATCGAAATTTAGAAAATAATCAGGCTGACCTTGAAGTTTCTATCTAATGGAGATGGAAAAATTCAATTGCAATTTTCCCTTTTGAATTAAATGAATTTTTATTCTAAAATTATTTTTATATCTTTAACGATATAAGAAATAATTTGATGTATACATTTCAATCAGATGTATCGTGGGATAATAATCATTCATGATGTTCCATAGCATGCGTTTACGCTACGAAAAGGAGATGATCGTTTGCGACTGAAAAAATAATTTTTCACAACTTTCAAACATTTTGATCTTTTTTATAATTGTATTTCTTTCCTTTAGTCACACAGATAGGATATTACGAGATCGAAAAGGATAATGTGTCAATAAACTATCCTCCAAAATGGATAAAGGAGATTATCTGTAGAAGTTTCTCCAACTAGAATGAAACGTTGTGAAATGTTGTAGCTCATAGAACATGCATTATCTAATAAGCTCATTTAAATGTTGTCTCAATGACGAGACTCTAGACATGTTCGTATTTTTCTTCCGCGATCGAAACCGTTTTAATCTTGCACATAGAAAAGCTCATGAGAAAAAACGAATAACCTGATGTCAAAGACTATAGGCCATTCGAGCTATGCGTTAATAAATTACGCAGCTTTTATCATACTTTTGTGATTATGATCATCGTGATTGGAATATTTTTCTATTTAACATCTGTGCTTTTTGAAGTATCTTTTTGCACACGCCATTCTAATTTACCCGAACGATCAAATATTTCAAACGAATTTGCAAGGTTTCCCTTTCTCTTTTATAATTAAAATTACACTAACTTTAAAACATATTCGGTATAATGCAGCCAAATATTTTCATTCCCATTTACATCTGAATTTAAAGCAGGGAGACGCGGTAGACGAAGCTGATAATAGAGAGATAAGAACGTAATATTTAAGAAAAGGCTATTTCCGTTATAGATCACCGATAGAATTTTTATATGTGTCTTACATCAATTGGATGATAGTAACAGGAATTTAACAGAAGTTCAAATAGTTCGATGCGGTGAAAAAATATTTAGAAATATCACTTATTATCTTCTTTGATGTGTCGAAAGTGTTTTCGGAACGGGTGGATATAACAGTGTTATGATGATTAAGTACTTTTTTTTTTTTTTTTTTTTTTTTTTTTTTTTTTTTTTTTTTTTTTTTTTTTCGTCAGAATAATTTTTCTTTTTTTAATAATTGTATATTTCTATACTTTGGACACCTTGTATTTTACTGAACAGAAAACAGTTTAAAAGAGAACGTCCGAAGATTAGAAAATGAGGAGAGAAGTAACATTTGTCCGGATATCCGGATACTTGGATTTTCTTAAGTCGAAAGTGAAAAGAAAGAAAGGAAAGAAGAGTAATCTAAACGGAACAAACTACGTATATCGGTTTCGTCGGACTTCGATCAATGGATAACTCATCAACGACGCGTATGCCGATCGCGAGTTCAGTCTTTCATAAAAATTGTGGTCACTCGTCTCCACAAACTGATAAAATCGCATACACTCTTATTTACAGCAGGATAAAGTGAGTCGAACATTTTCTTCTAAATCGTTGACCTTCGGGAAAAATTGACAATTAGGCGAAAATTATTACATGACCCGTTACATACGCGTCAGTACTGTCTCTTCCTTCTTTTTCTTTTTTTTTCTCGTTTTTTTTTTTTTTTTTATTATTATTATTTTTTCGTTTCTACTTTTAGTTGAAATTGGCTTACGGCAGAATTGGCAGTAACACTATGACATCTTGCATTTCTTTCCAGCGTTTTCTTCATCTAAAAATCGTCGATCGTTATCGTTGATGGTGGGCGGTGATAACATCAATGATAAAAAGCACAAAGTTTAAGGGCGGACAGGTTGCAAGGTCATCGACCGAATCACAGAAAAGTCCTTGGAAGCTGTCCGCGACTTTTTTTTTTTTTTCTTTTCTATGTTCTCCTTAAACAACACTCTCACACACGCACAATCAGTAGCTTGATCGATGTCGACAAAGGACATTCTGAGCCTTGGTACACGTAGGCGTTCTTCTCTTATCGTTCATAGAGGTATATCTTTTGTTATGGAGCATTTTCAAGGAGGAAAAGAAATTAAGAAAAAAAAAAGTATTAAAAAAGGAAAATTGGATTTGAAGAAGTCCCACGATAGAGAAATATACCACCGTTCGTTCTTGCGAATGGATTCTCACTTACCGATGTAGAGGCACTTCTATATATTTTTCTCACATAATGATCCAGTGGCAGTACATTCTCGTCTTAATTGTAATCTTGCTATATAAAGAAAGGTTAGTACCTTTTTACAACACTTGTCGTCAAAATTGTCTAAAGTTTGGTTTCACGCGGTAGGTCAGGCAAACTGGAGCTGGGTGCAAGGAGACCGAAACTCTCTGGCATTTCTTTAGGCTCTTTGGCTAAGATTTCGGTGCTGAAGCCTTTGAAAACTGGCTTGACATGGTCTGCGTCTTTGTACACCGAAGATGAGCTCCCATCTTCATCGATACTGTGCAGGATTATCGAATGCGGCGATATCATCGACAATGGGTCCAATCCAATCGGTGGACTCATGTCCTCGATATAATTTATATGGATACCCTCCATTATATTTCCATGGGGACTAGCAGACGAAAGTTCCGTTGGTGTGTAATACTCGCTGTTGACGTCTTCCATGCTCACGCCATTCGCCAAGTCGTCGATTTTTGCCTTGAAGTAAGTATCCACGTGGATAGATCCATCTTCTTTTGGATCGAATATCATGGAATCGCTTTTCCCGCAAGAACCGCTTCGGCAATTATCGAAATAGAAATTCGGCAAATTTTCCAGTACTTTGTTCAGTGTCTGCTGTTGGTACTTGTAACTCTCGCGTAGTCGTAGGACCTGGTGAGCGCTGAACTTTCTTATCTTGTTACGTTGGAAGACATAATTTTCTCGCACCCAATTGAGCTGACTGGTGGAATAATCTCGTACTTTCCTCACCTGTTTCGAGATCAGAAAAACAACGTTGTGAAACATTTGTGCATCACGTATGAGCAGTATTTAACTTTCGCTTTCACGTAGGTTCTCGAGGTTCGCGATAACTACTTTAATAAATTGTAAATTTGTTTTAGGACGAATTTTAATCGCGTTACATAAGTAAGACGCAAAGAAGATGGTGGTATCGAACGATTCTACGTTAAGCAATAAGTTTGCTGAGGTATTTTATTACCTGATCATAATACTGATCTCTGAGAGCCGTGAGGTGGCTCGTTCCGTAATCCCTGATGTCTTTAATGTGTCTCATTTGACCTTCGTAACTGTCGCGAATCCATTCTACTTGCTGGGCGCAATTCTCCTTTATTCTGTGTACTTGTTGGGTGTAATTCTCGCGTAGTCTCTCGAGTTGTTGACTCTTGTATTGCTCGATATTATCCAACATTTGGTAGATCTGCTTTGCCCTAGGAGTGGAACCTACGTGTCTACAGCACAAACAGCAGTTTAGACAGCCGCATCTGAAACAAGAGAAGACGAACGATTTTATATACGGCGAGGAAGAAATCGCATGATCCACAGGAATAATAATTTCACACGAGTCGTAGTTACATCGCATTCAGCAACGAGTAAATGAAATCTTCGAACGAGGCAGGTGAACAAAGTATCGACCTGCGTGCTAATGAACCCGGTACAAACGATGTACGTGATTTAGTTTTAAAGGCACGACGATTGCGTATCGATCGATGATTATAGTGGACACTGAATTGCAACTAGAGAGAGAGAGAGAGAGAGAGAGAGAGATAGAGAAAGGAATACTTACTTGACCAAGACATAACGAAGCAGTTGCAGGAAGCGCGTAAAAAGAAGAAAGGCCGTTGCGCTGGCAGCGCCTACCAAGATGCTGATGATCTTGATTTTGTGTAATGTTATTGGATTCATCTGCAAACTAACATAGGTAGTGGTATTGGCAATCGGATTGACCGCGAAACACTTGTATTGTCCAACATCCTGCCTGAGCAACGTCGAAATGTACAAAGATCCATTCTCGAGGATGCGTATGCGACCATCGTCAACGAACGGTACACTTTGTTCCCATCCGTGTACGGGAGGATGTTCGACAAAAGCGTCGGGAAAAGCTGGATCTGGATTCCAATGCAGTACCTGAAGTGTCGGCGTAACCCATGTTAACGATGGCGTAGGATTGCCGTTGAATTCGCATTCGAGTAGCACGGAGTTTAATAACAGATACTGTTGCGTGGGCGTAGCATATGCCAATTTCGGCGGTGTGCATTTCAAGTAACGGAGAGTCTGAAGGATATCGGCGGTACCGTCGATCCCGTCGCCGCACTGGAACCCGCTTTGGAAAGCGGTTCGTAGGTGCTCTTTACTTTCGGCCCATTTCACAAACCAGAACATGCGACAATCGCAGGCCCATGGGTTGCCTTGCAGCTGCAACTCGTTCAAAAACGACAGCTGCGCCACGTTTGCCGGAAGGAAGGTCAGATTGCTATCGTGTAGATCGATTTTCCGAAGTGCCGGGGTACGATCCAGAGTATTCCGGGAGATCTCGCGTAACGGGCTGTTATTCATTTCCAGTGTCTCTAGCTTGTCCAGTCCCTTTAGATCGTCGTTACGGAGGACCTCCAGTTTCGTGCCGGAAAGTAACAGAGTGTGTAGCTTCTTCACCGGTTGCCATACGTCTTTTGGAAGCACCTTGATCGGTAGATTCTTCACGCTGAGCCATCTTAGATTCGACAGGTGTTGGAACGTGGTGCTCGTCAAGCGGGTGATAGGATTTCTGGAAAGATCGAGACGCTGCAACGACACGAGATCGGCAAAGAGACCGCGCGGGATCGTATCGATCTCGTTATCGGACAGCTCCAGAATCTTCAAGTGATTCAAACCGGAAAACAAACGGGATGGAAGTTTAGTGAGCCTGTTGGAGGACAGGCCGAGCTCCTGGAGATGATTGTTGGGCCTGAAACTGTGATCCGGCAAGGACACCAACAGATTACCGGAAAGGTCCAAGTGTGTTAGCGACTTGGACGAAGCGAATGCTTGATAGGGAAGTATCGAGAGTCGATTGCGCGACAAGCAGATCTCTTCGAGCTGGTCCAAACCTTGGAACAACGCTCGTGAGAGTAGAGTCAACCGGTTCCCGGTGAGGTTCAGGTACTGAAGTTGGTGCAACGGATGGAAGACGTCCGACGGTAATTCCGTCAGCCTATTGTCACCTAGATCGAGGTGTTCGAGGAACGTTGTCGCGAGGAATACGCCAGATTCTATCCTTTCGATCCCGCTCGAAGTCCATTCGAGACTCTTGAGCCGAGTGGCAGTTTCGAGAGCGGAAACGGGTATGGTAGCGGCTATGACGTTTCTCAGCACGACATCGGTGGTTTGCCTGGATAAACCGAGTCCGAGGAAGCTTCGTTCCTGACAGAATAAGCCCTTTCCGTTGTCCAGGCACTCGCAACCCGTGGCACATTCTACACGCGAGGTCGATGACGTTTTTTCCGCAAATAACGTTGACAGACCCTGCGATGTGAGATCCTGTGTACCCGTAACTTGCACCGTAATCAGAAGAACGATTAACCACCACCACGAGTCCCACGTGAAAACCCGCTTCCTCATTCCTATGACCTGTAATGTGACGATTTCCACGCATACAACCAAGAATTCCCATGTCCTGATGTATCTTCGCGAAATCCAAGATTGATCGATCGATATTCTTCCTTAAAATTCGCTTCAATTTTACGTTATTCTCTAGTCAAGAAATAACGGACACTTTCGATTAGCGTTTTAGCTTATCAACGAGAGGAAGCGTGCTAACGGAAAGAGACGTATTGTCATTGCGGCACGCAAGTACACTTGATTTCGCGAAAAAGACACGAAACGTATTTATTATTATATTA